AGATCATTGGAGCATGTTAATGGAGAACTTTCTTCACTCTAAAGAATATTGGCAAGTAGTTGAGTTTGGGATTTCTGCTGTAGCAGATGATGTCGATTACTCAGATGAACAAAAGGAGGTAGCAGATCAAAAATTGAAAGACTTAAGAGCTAAGAACTACTTTTTCCAGGCCATCAATGGCTCAATTTTGGAGACTATTTTGGATAAAGAAACTTCGAAAGGAATTTGGGATTGAATGAAGAAAAAATTCTAAGCAAATACAAAGGTGAAACGAGCACAACTACAGGCTCTGTGCAAGGACTACTGGTTCATGAACAACATATGCAAAGACATATTGTGGACGAGCAGACATTGAAGATCACTCTTGATAGTAGTATAGGGAGAACAAATTGTGGAGGTTGCACATTTCGAGGTAGAGGATGAGGACGTGAGAAACCAGGTTTTAACAAAACTCTTGTTGAGTGTTTTTATTATCATGACCTTGGTCATTTTCAGTATGAATGTACCAAGAAAAATAAGGGAAAAGAATCATAAGCTCATTTTGCTGAAACTTCTAAACCGCTGCTTGTCATGGCATTTGTCTGAAATCAACTCATCAGGTTGTTTGTCAGACAAAGATAGCCACCATGATAACAAACATGGAGCCACAAACGACTCAACTGGTGACCTTCATGAAGAAAATTCAGAGCAACACACATTAGAAGAACACATAATTGCTGATCTTGTTGTTAATCCCTCTAATAATCCTACTACTATTCTTATTTCTAAACTAGCAGACAAATGCTCTAGGCACCCTCCAACCAACTTGGATGCGTGACTATGAGACTGGAGAGAACTTCTATAATGATGATGATCAAGGTAATTTTTCTCTATTTGTTGATCAAGATCCTTTAACATATGTGGATGCAGTAAAAAGTGCCAACTGGTGATGTGCCATGGATTCTGAGATTGAAGCAATACGGAAAAATGATACTTGAGATCTCACTGGTCCTTCTCATGGTACAAAAACAATTGGGGTAAAATGGGTGTACAAAATGAAGTTGAATGAACATGGAGAAAGCAACAAATACAAAGCTCGACTTGTCGCTAAAGGATACACACAACAGCATGGCGTGGACTACACAAAAGTCTTTGCCCGTGTAATTCGTATGTACGCTATACAATTGATATTTGCTCTAGCAGCTCAAAAGAAGTGGATTGTGTTTCAATTGGATGTTAAATCAACATTTCTTCGTGGAGAGTTGGATGAGGAGGTTTATATGGCATAACCTCTTGGTTACGTGATAAAGGGAGAAGAGGATAAAGTATAACGCTTGAAAAAGGCTTTATACGGTTTGAAACAAGCTCCACGTGCGTGGTACAATCGTATTGAAACTTATTTTCTAAAGGAAGGCTTTGAAAAGAAGTCATTACAAGGTACTTTCTTCCTTGTATGTCTTTATGTAGATGACATCATATTTATTGGAAACAACGAGGCTTTGTTGAGTTCTTTTAAAGAATCCATGATGAAGGCATATGATATGACTAATCTTGGACGAATGCGATATTTTCTTGCCTTAGAAGTGTCACAACGAGTTGATGGTATTTTGATTTATCAAAACAAGTATGCCCAGGAAGTATTGGAAATATTTAATATAGCCTGCAATGTTGTATACAATCCTATTGTACCTGGATTTAAGTTTGTTACGAATTCTACTAGCTTGTCTATCAACAACACCTTGTACATGAAAATGGTGGGAAGCTTAATGTATTAACATCTACCAAACCTAACATCATGTTTTCTGTTAGTTTGCTTAGTAGGTACTTGACTAAGCCTACTAAAATTCATTTTTAAGCCATTAAAAGGGTGTTTCGTTACATAAAAGGGACACTCAGATATGGTATTTTCTATAAGAAAGATGGTAATATTGAGCTTACCGCCTACATTGACAGTGATTATGCAGGAGATTTGGAGGATAGAAAAAATACATCAGGTTATTCATTTTTGCTAAGTTCAGAAGTTGTTTCATGGTTCTCAAAGAAGCAACCCATAGTCACACTCTCCACTATTGAATCTGAATTCATTGCTGCTGCAGCTTGTGCTTGCCAAGCCATATGGTTGAGAATGATGCTGGAAAAATTCGATCATATCCCAGTTGGAGCTACAGTGGTGTACTGTGCTAACAGTTTCACTATTAAGCTGACCAGAAATTCAGTCTTGCACGGTCAAAGCAAACATATTGATGTTTGTTTCCACTTCCTCTGTGATTTAAGTAAAGATGAAACTGTGATGTTACAAAATTGTCATACTAAAGAGCAAGTGGCTGATATCATGACAAAACCTTTGACTCGAGTTATGTTTGAGAAGTTTAACATGTTGCTTGGTGTCTGTCAAGATCTTGAAGTTTGATTTAAAGATTGAGTCATCAGTTTGGAGGGGATGTTGCAAAAGATTTAGTTACTATTTTATGTTTTAGTTCCCAAATATCATATCACTAATATTATCTTATGCTGTATATTTTGTTTTGGCGTGATATTCTGCGTTCTATTAGAATTTTATTTTTATTTTCCGTTAAACATTGTACTGACTATAAATAGTCATTTTTCACGTAATAAAACATTGAATTTCCTTCCTTCTACAAACTTATCTTCATTAAATTTATCACCTCTAAAACTAGATTTTTTACTAAAATCAATTCAATTGATTTGTTACAAATAAAGAAACGAGCTCTTAAAATTATATTATTTCATTGAAATATTGATTTAAGAAAAACATTCAAGGTTTTATAGCTCAGTTAGTTAGAGCGTTAGTCTTATGAGCCGAAGGTTGCCGGTTCGAGCCCCGCTAGTAGAACCAACCAAAATTAGATGGCACTTTCAATACTACTTATTTAAACACGTAAGACCAGACTAGTGTTTTCCAGAAATACAAGATGTATTAAATGTTTTCGACATCTATACTATAGATATTTTTCTTTTTAAAGTTATATTTATTTTGAATATATAGAAATTTAGGGTGGGAAAGCTTTCATCATTTATGTCCCACCACCTTTTTTTTTTCATCTTTATCTTTCAAAAATTTTTGACCCGGACTTAGCGATCAACAATTAGTTCAGGTCGGTCGATTGTGAATCTTGGATTAGGTCACCAGCGGGTCTGCACTCACCAACCATATGCTAACACATGCCGCGTATTAGCCTTTCCTCACCTGTTAGCTAGACTTGCATCTTCGTCCATGCTTGACTATCAAGTTTAATGATTATATGGCTGGAATAACTCAGTTGGTTAGAGCGACGGAGGTTTAAATCTTCCTTCTAGCATTTTCTTATTTATTTGTATGTGTATCTACATTTGATTTCATAATTTTTTTGGTGTGAATGTCTATCAATGGACTACTGACACCTCCTCCAAACACCTCTCAAAACTCTATTCCTCCATATCCTTTTTAACACCTATCAAGACTTTTCCTTCACCCACGGATGCCGTCACTTCAAATAGTTAATACTTATCAAGACTCTATTCCTCCCTATCCTTCTTTAACTCCATATCCTTCTTAACACCTATCAAGACTCAATTCCTTCGCCCACTAATGCCCTCACTTCATATAGGACAACATCTACTAGTTGTGTTCCTATCACAGCCCAAAATTTGAATCTCGAAATCAAAGGCTGGACCAACAGACTATGCAATGAAATCGTGTAAAAGCAAATAGACAAGACGAAATTACAAAAAACTTAAGTAGTAAATGAGTTCTATGAAAAGTATGTAAATGGTTTACAAAACAATGCATGACAGATCTAAACAAAAATATGCACAGACTCCTAGATGCCCCGAACCGTGGCATCACTCACCTGAGAAAAAAAAAAGAGTAGAAAGGAATGAGTATAAAAATACTCAGTAATCAGCCTACTTGTAGGCTCTTTTTGCATCCTTATCTTGGTAGGTATCCACAGTCTTTCTCGGGTTTTTAAGGAGAGTGCTCTAAGCTATAACTCTCTTTTTTGTATCTTAGAAGGCTTGCCCATCTTATGCAGTGAAATTATTAGTGTCCTGAGGTGAGGCACGACCTCATAAGTAAATCTGAGGGGATCGTATGGATGGATTTGAATTTGTGACTCTCTCTAAACATCATCCATGGAGGTTAGCTGACGACCCTCACACGGGACCATACATTCACTAAATTCGGGGTGCGACCCCCTGTGTGCCGGTCAGCTACTGAGTCGTCCTACGTGGCTCCATGTCTCCTACTCAGGGATGAGTTTCTTAGGCCCAGGAGTCTTGTTCAGAAGACCCCTTAGCTATCACCACTTGGTCTGGGCACCTGTCACACTTTCCTATCCGAATTTTCCAAGCTCAACGATCTCCATATCGGAGCTCTATCTCGACGGTACGGTATCGGAGCAGAGAGGGAAGTGGAGGTTCTGATGACACTATCTATACTGCTAAACTCTAGCGGGCTACCTACAATTACCGTGGTGACCTATTATTCTTTCTAGGGTGAAGAACTTGGTGGCTTAGACTTGGATTCATGTATCTCAAGGATTCTCGTGCTTGGTCTCACAAACCTATCGGGTTTGGAAATCTGGGCTCTAGATCCGCCGGTAATCATTTCGCGGGCCTAATTGCACGGTATTCTAGAAGTCCCCCATTCTAGGGTCTCATCAAGCCTACTTAGTCACAAGCATCCTAATCTAAGCTCGTAATTTCTTCCTATTCATCAAGAAAGATAACACAACAATCATCATGCATAAGAGTTCACACGCAACAGTTCATGCAATATTAACAAACATGCTCAACGAGAAGATAACGTCCATCTTCACCCGGAGAGTAGATTTCACAAGTTTCCCATCCTTCTCATGCATACGTACTTTATCAGAATCTCAATCAAAACAGATTTAATAAACATTTCATATCTAGCTTTCCTTAATCATTTCATTTTCGCAGTTTCCATACTAATATGCTAGGTCCGGCTAGTTAAGTTTATGGGTGGTAGTATACATGCTCGTTCTTAGTGGTTCCTACAAGTACTGCTCGTGGGAATCCAAATGGCTACTTACTTGGTTGACGCGTGCCTTCTCGAGTTCGAGTTTTCTTGACGGAAAGGATTCCAAAAATTCTGAAATTTCCATGACAGGTCCTAATTCACATAATAATAGGGTCAGTATTAAAATCGGGTTAGAAAACAAGCAAACAGAGACCGAACGGAAAGAAAAACAGTGACTCACGCGTCTACACACACGTCACACGTGCCCTGGAGGGTTTCTACGCGCAGATCCTACGCGCGCGTGCCCGCACGTGGCTTCCCGAGCAGTCGCGGGTCAGAGGCGCCGGGTCGGGGTGGTTTACGGACGAAGCGGTTCATGTACGATGTCGGGTCGGGTTGGCCCAGATCTGCGTGCCTAACGCGTGTCCGCTGTAAGGGTGAGGACGCGCCTCACCAGTCAGTGATCGCCACGTGTTGATCACCGATTCTGCCACGCTCCTCCGTACGCTGGCCGACGCGTGGCGGCGTCTCTTCCCTCTCTCATGCGTGTTTTCAATTTTTCCAATGTTAGTCTCTTTCACGTTTCGATCTATTTTCTTCCAATTTTTTTATCTTCCAATCTGTAATCTGATTCAAGAATTTTCTTCATGAACCTTGTAGATCTCCTATTCTACTCATTCGAAACCATTTTCTTATATTTTTCTGATAATCACAGATCTTAACATTTGAGTTCGAATTTGGAGAAAACACGAGTTCTTACCGAAAATCACGTTTTCTTGAAACTTCGATTCGAATGCCAATCTTGGCCGCCTTCACTCCAAAACTTAACCAGATAATGCTGTTGAGGGTAAGAATCCAAGGATCAACACAAAATGTCGCTAACGCACGAAAACCTTGATGACTTCTCGATCTAAACATTTATGGACTAACCTGAAGTTCTTGGATGTTTTGACGAAATAGGAAGGTGCGATTTGTGAGAGCACCTTGCCTCGGGCTGTTGATGGTTTAGATTGGAGACTCGGATCTCCGGCGTCGGTTCTGATCCGATCTCCTCCTCCTACCTCAAAAACCTTAATTTTCTTTCTCTCTTCTTTTTCCTCTTTCTCTCCCCTCTGTTAGATAAAACCTGAGTTTTTACAGTTTTTCCTTATTCACACGATTTCAGAATATCTCCGTTTGACCATTTGACAAAACACGTCGAATGGATCACCAAAATTTTAGACGGCAATTTTGCAGGGAGGCATAGATTTAGTTTCTCTTTCTCTCTCTTTACGCAGAGGAGCCAACCTATCAACAAACAAGTTGAATAGCTCAAGTGGTTAGAGCATCGACCTAACAACACACAGGTCTCAGGTTCGAGTAGAAGAAAATGAAAAGTGTAAAAACACACACATCGTGGGGCCCCATTTAGAGTCTGATGTCCAGATTTTTCAATGCGGATCATGGGGCTTGCCAACAGTATCACCACACTCGGTGGTGCGACAACACCGACGAGAGCAACGGGTCCTCCTCCAGCCGCAAAGGACAGTAAGAAGCCATTGATGTCCCATGGGCGCAAGCGCGGGAAATATGGGAATCAAAAGAAGGAGTCGACCAATGGCAGGCCGATCTGCTCGAATTGCTGGAGCAAGCTTAGGAACAAGGAGAGGAGAAGGCTGAAAAGGCCCATGGTTTCTCGGGAGTGGTGGAGCGCCGAAATCAGACCATCGTCGGGACAACCTGGGAGATTTTGGGGAGAGGCAGTAATGACGGCCGTCTATCTCCTCAATCGGTCACCAACCCGGGATGAGCCGTTGGAGCTTGTACACGGCGATATTTGCACGGGCCCATCAAGTCGGCGACCCCAAGCGGTAAGAGTCTCTTCCTCCTGTTAGTCGATCACAAACGCCGCTTCATGTGGTTGACCCTGCTGCAAGCGAAAAGTGAGGCGGCAGAGGCGGTTAAGTGCATTAAAGCACGAGCGGATGCCGAATGTGAGAAGAAGATGCGAGTGCTGCGCACAGACCGAGGCAGAGAATTCACCTCGACAAGTTTCGATAAGTAGTACTGTGATGAGATCGGCATACAACGGCACCTAACGGTGCCCTACTCCCCCCAATAGAACGGAGTGGTGCAGTGCCGAAATCAGACCATCGTCGGGACAGCCTGGGAAATTTTGGGGAGAGGCAGTAATGACGGCCGTCTATCTCCTCAATCGGTCACCAACCCGAAGCCTTGACGGGAAGACACCATATGAGGCCTGGTACAACAAAAAACCAGCGGTACATCATTTTCGCGTGTTCGGCTGCGTCGCATACATGAAGGTAACACGTCCCCACCTCGCCAAGCTCGATCCCAGGGGGCTGAAGGTCGTCTTCATCGGCTATGAACCCGGGAGAAAGGCGTACAAACTATATGATCCTGTAGGGGGGCGAGCTCACGTGTCTCGCGACGTGGTCTTCGACGAAAGCACCTTCTGGTAGTGGAATGACGTGATCGAGACAGCCGGAAGAAAAAGCCCTGCATCAGCAGCCGCTAGCAGGTGCAACCCCTGAACCAGTGGAATTCGCAACACCACGGACTGCGGATTCGACGCTGGATGCCGATCACGATACTGATTTGGAGGCCAGGTACCAGAGGATGGACGCCTAGTAAGAGGAGGTGAACCACCTGGACTGGCAGTGCGCGAGCTCGAAGAAATGGCCGAACTATATGCCATCAGTGCAGATGAACCGAACACCTTCGCCGAAGCAGAAAAGAACCCGTGCTGGCTGAAGGATATGTGAGCCAGTTTATGGAAGCACCTAGAGAGGAGCATCTAGTGGCTGTCAAGCGCATCCTGCGCTATGTAGCCGAAACCAGAGGCTCGGGTGTAAGATTTTACGCAGGGAGCGGAAAGGAGAAACTCAAACTGGTCGGCTACAGTGATGTCCCATGGGCGCAAGCGCGGGAAATATGGGAATCAAAAGAAGGAGTCGACCAATGGCAGGCCGATCTGCTCGAATTGCTGGAGCAAGCTTAGGAACAAGGAGAGGAGAAGGCTGAAAAGGCCCATGGTTTCTCGGGAGTGGTGGAGCGCCGAAATCAGACCATCGTCGGGACAACCTGGGAGATTTTGGGGAGAGGCAGTAATGACGGCCGTCTATCTCCTCAATCGGTCACCAACCCGGGATGAGCCGTTGGAGCTTGTACACGGCGATATTTGCACGGGCCCATCAAGTCGGCGACCCCAAGCGGTAAGAGTCTCTTCCTCCTGTTAGTCGATCACAAACGCCGCTTCATGTGGTTGACCCTGCTGCAAGCGAAAAGTGAGGCGGCAGAGGCGGTTAAGTGCATTAAAGCACGAGCGGATGCCGAATGTGAGAAGAAGATGCGAGTGCTGCGCACAGACCGAGGCAGAGAATTCACCTCGACAAGTTTCGATAAGTAGTACTGTGATGAGATCGGCATACAACGGCACCTAACGGTGCCCTACTCCCCCCAATAGAACGGAGTGGTGCAGTGCCGAAATCAGACCATCGTCGGGACAGCCTGGGAAATTTTGGGGAGAGGCAGTAATGACGGCCGTCTATCTCCTCAATCGGTCACCAACCCGAAGCCTTGACGGGAAGACACCATATGAGGCCTGGTACAACAAAAAACCAGCGGTACATCATTTTCGCGTGTTCGGCTGCGTCGCATACATGAAGGTAACACGTCCCCACCTCGCCAAGCTCGATCCCAGGGGGCTGAAGGTCGTCTTCATCGGCTATGAACCCGGGAGAAAGGCGTACAAACTATATGATCCTGTAGGGGGGCGAGCTCACGTGTCTCGCGACGTGGTCTTCGACGAAAGCACCTTCTGGTAGTGGAATGACGTGATCGAGACAGCCGGAAGAAAAAGCCCTGCATCAGCAGCCGCTAGCAGGTGCAACCCCTGAACCAGTGGAATTCGCAACACCACGGACTGCGGATTCGACGCTGGATGCCGATCACGATACTGATTTGGAGGCCAGGTACCAGAGGATGGACGCCTAGTAAGAGGAGGTGAACCACCTGGACTGGCAGTGCGCGAGCTCGAAGAAATGGCCGAACTATATGCCATCAGTGCAGATGAACCGAACACCTTCGCCGAAGCAGAAAAGAACCCGTGCTGGCTGAAGGATATGTGAGCCAGTTTATGGAAGCACCTAGAGAGGAGCATCTAGTGGCTGTCAAGCGCATCCTGCGCTATGTAGCCGAAACCAGAGGCTCGGGTGTAAGATTTTACGCAGGGAGCGGAAAGGAGAAACTCAAACTGGTCGGCTACAGTGATAGTGACATGGCCGGTGATGTTGATGATCATAAGAGCACTAGCGGAATGATCTACTTTCTCTCAGGCGGTGCAATCTGCTGGCAATCAACAAAACAGAAGGTAGTTGCTTTGTCTTCTTGCGAAACAGAATACATCGCTGCTTCGATGGCAGCAACGCAAGGGATCTGGCTTGCGCGATTAATGGAAGAACTCATCGAGAGAGAAAGTGATCCACCAATGTTATACGTAGACAACAAAGCTACAATCTCCCTGATCAAAAATCCAGTTTTGCATGAACGAAGCAAGCACATAAAAATCCAGTTTTCTAACTCTTTCCTATTTAATCTCGAAATTGTTATTGTGATTTATTGCAGGTTTTAAGTTTTTCATAATTGGTTATTGTTATTTGTCGAACTATTTTATTGTATTAATTATAACTTCCACTTATTTCCAAAAAGTTTCATAATAAGAAAAATTAATTCTATAGAATTTAAGCATGTATATGTTATGATATTTGAATTGTATGATAATACTTTCAGTACGATGTGTTCAATGATATGTTTGAGATAGAATACGAGAAGGATGCGATAAACGTAATATAACGATAGGACAAACATATGTTCATAAAATGAAACGATAAGGTTATGTATAGAAAATGCAATGGTTATGATAGATTGATGAAACGATGCGACAAGGTTATGCATAGAAAACGTTAAGTTATGATAGTTTGATAAAGCGATACGATAAGGTTATGTATAGAAAACGTTATAGTTATGAAAGATTGATAAAACGATATGATAAGGTTATGTATAGAAAAAGTTATAGTTATGATAGATTGATAAAATGATACGATAAGATTATAAGGAACTGATCAAGGTAGGCTTGAAGGTGGCATCGATTAAAGGCATACTAAGGTTTGGATGAAAGGACAAGTTATGTCCATGCTTCAATGGGGCTTTTGATATTCTAGATCAATCTGTGACATACAAATGAAAGGTTAAGCCCAAAATATATATATATATATATAGAAGAAGCCACGTGAGGACAAAAGGATTAGAGAGAGAAATATTGATTCATGATTTCATTACTTTCGAGGATGAAAGTTATTTTTAGGAGCATGACACCAAGGGTTCGGCTAACCTCTAGACGCCACTATAGATTAGCTTGAGTTATGATGCTTGATGATGTACGTAATATATATATTTCGATGAATGACGTACTTGATATGTTTGATACACTTTATGACAAGATTGCGTTCATGCCTATCAATGGACAACTGATATCGATGAACACTTGCAACAAGTTGTTAAGACGGTTGAATATGTGGCTAGAGTAGCTTACTTGAGTAGAGTTTGGCAAACCTTAACCATAAGGGTAGATGTGAGATTCAAGCCTTTTTCTAGCGTTTTTTAATTTATCTTATTAATTTTTTTATTTTACATTTTGTAATTTCAGGATTTTTTGTGACATAGGTGGTCGGATTTGAACTATATGAAATCTTTATGACATATGTTAGTGTAACATATGTGTAAGATTTTAAGCAAATTGGAGAGGAAAAGCAGTTGAAGGCACTCGAAAAGTTAGTGAGTTGAATATGAAGAGAGAACGCGCATACAACATTTGCTAGTGAAGTTGCATATATCATGATATGGAAACCCTAACTAGAGTGATTACATAGAATTACAAATAAAATTAGCACTTGAAGTCTATTTTACCTAAACAACATATATGGCTTAGAGATTTAAAATGAAAATTCTTAACCTTGTAAGAGCATATAAAGAATTCATATTTTAGGATCTTAACTATTATGTAAATTAAATAAAAAATCTTTAAAATATACATAAAAAAGACA